CAAGGTAAGAGCGAGGTCCTTGCACGGTGGCCCTAAAGTCTCTTCGAATGAGTTTCTGACGAAGGCAAACTCTCAGTCCTCTGGGACGAGCGTCACTGTTCCAACTTCGGGTGTGTTGCGAGCGCCCCCTGGGAGTTACGCAACTTTCTCGTGGATTCATTTCTAATATCAATGCTAATACACACGCACACACATACACACCCACACACACACAAATCTAAATATGTATGCATATTTACTTACATTGCTTATAACTATTCATATACATACAATATCTACTCTAGTATATACGGAAGCACACTTAAGGCGTATGTGGCGCTTGATTTATTCATGAACGCTTCCAAAGTTTGATCTTATTAGATTGGACTGAGGCAAAAACCGTTTCATGTCTTCATCACTTATTTCGTAATGCATATACTTTGATAATTCTCTCTTTCTTTCTTTCTCTCCCTCTCTCTTTCTCTCTCTCTCTCTCTCTACGTTCTTCTATACTTGTCTCTCGCCTCCTTTCTCTCTCTTTACTTCTCTCGCCTCCTTTCTCTCTCTCTCTCTCTCTCTCTCTCTCTCTCTCTCTCTCTCTCTCTCTCTCTCTCTTTACTTTATTTTCTACTTGTTTTTCGCCTCCTTTCTTTCTCTCTCTCCAAATGTGACCGGAGTATAACAAGTATTGTTATGGTTATGAAAGATGTAGCAGACATTCAAAATCGAAGGCTCTACCATATGTATCACCAGCCTTAGCCGTAACGTTGGTACCTTTGTCTTCAGCTAATTTTAGAATCTTCATTCATACTGGTCTTTTTCTTCCTTCCCCTGTCTATATACCTATTTATCTTTGAATCTCCCGTGCCTCTCACCACCCCCCCCTCTCTCTCTTTCTCTCTCTCTCTCTCTTACTCTCTTCTACTTCCCACAGACCTCGTAAACCCTTTAGCACTTTTCCTCCCCGTTCTGTTATATCTTTCGATCCCATTGTCACTTTCCGCGGGGATGGTTCCATTACGTGAATTATTAGTGTGGTTGTTAATGCAAGCCTTCACAGCGCGTCTATGATCCCGTGGAATAAATGTCTGTGGTGATGCAATGTATCATTAAAACGTTATATATACGTACACTCAGATCATGTTCAAACGCATGCATATTCACACACATCTGTGTACATGAATGTTAACTGAATATTCACACATATGTGTACACGGAATTGCAGTGCACTTCTGTTCTGTTAGATGGATTCTTAAGATACAGATATTAGCTGGTTGAGCGAGTGCAGTGAAATAAATAGACCAATAAATACATAAGCAAAATAAAGCACAAATAGTAAAGGCGGCCCAGGCCTTCCTTTGAACCTAGAATCTCTTTCACTTCGACTGTTGCAGCCATGAAACCGGGAGTCTGAGGTGCCTTCATCCAGAGTACGCATACATACCATTCAAACGTTAATCTACGGCCAACAAGACCCGCCAAGACCCATCACTCGACGCACAAGAAACTTCAACTGTTTCGTTTTACGTTCGAACGCCACCGAACCACCTCGTGTTTTTAAAGCTATTCCACCACGAAGCTTCGAATTGACTGGATCTCCGGGGGTAACTATTCTCGATTGAAAATATCGCTATGTCTCATTCCCATCTCCGTTCAGGGTGGCCAGGCGTTCATTCAAGCGTGGACATCGGGAATTGGGTGTTGCGTGTGGAGGGCCTCTGTTGTTGATGTGAGGTGTGTGTGTGGAGGGGGAGGGGAGGTGTTGTTTGTGTGTGGAGAGGGGTTCTTTGTCGTTGTTTGTATGTGTGTGTTTGTGTGTATCTACACATATTTTTTTTACTGTCCATATATATGCTTACAAACAAAGCAAGCCCCCCCCCCCCACACACGCACACAACAACAGCGCAGAATACAACCCCCGGCTGCTATCTTCATTAGGGGAACTAGCACAATGAAACAGAAGCTGACATTTGAGATGGATCCCGTCACTTCTTGCTCAACACACGTCATAAAGGAGGACAGACCGAGTGAGTGATATTAGCTGATCCTTAGGCGGGAACACATACATATAGTATAAATATATATAGATCTCCTGCAACCCTCGTATATGTACATACGGACACATAATCACACCCAGTTACTCATAGATACATACGCATTCACAGATACACAGTCCAAAATAACTATGACCGCATGTACCCGTTCATCAGCTTTGCCAACACAACTAGTACTTCTGTATATTTGTATAGAAGATTTAGTTACGAGATGAAAGCTCTTGTCTTCCTTTGAGATCACTCCCCCCCACACCATCCTAAAACGTGGTAAGAGAAAGGCGAGAGGGGAAAAAAAAAGGAAAATCTA